TATATATATATATATATATATATATATATATATAGGAGAAGACATAAAGATGTACCTATTTCATTATGATCATTGAGTTTGAACATACCTTCAGAGGCATACCCCATTCCTACAAAGACATCATTCTTCGACAAATAAACTTGTCAGACTCAAAGACAAGTCTAAAACCCATCTTGTTCAAAAGGTATGCAAACACCAGGTTTCTCCAAATTTCAGGGACATGGTACACATCCAGAAGGCTGAGAACTTTACCGGACGTAAATTTTAATTCAACGGTCCTTTTACCAATTGCCTTAGAGGAGGAAGAATTGCTAATATAAATTATCATGTCCTCCCCTACCATTTCATAAGTCCTAAATATGTTTATGTTATTACAGATATATTTTGTGGCACCTGTGTCCATCCACCACTTTGTAGTGTCCCCTACTGCAATGACTTTGGAGATCATGGCAACAAATTCTTCTTCGGCTTGTGTCAGCTGTCTATTTCCAATTCTACAGAATTTCTACATGTAGTTGGTTTTGCCACAAAAAAAACATACCAAGGGTTTTATTGCCCTTATCCTGAGTTGTTTTTGTGTTTACATCTTTGGTGTCTTTTTTTTCTTCTTTATTTCCTTCAATCTTGATTCTTTTTTTAGACCTTGGTTTCTTTTTTTTCAGACCTTCAATTGTGTGGTCTCTAGCCACTATCTAAGATTTATGCTCTTTGACATCTCTGAGTCTAGTCAATTCTCATATGGGCCATCAACTGTTCGAGGATGAAGTCTTCTGACTTATGCATCAGTGTGTTTCTGTATTCCTTTTAGGAGGGTGGAAATTTGTCGATTATTGCCTCGACATGGAATGATTCATCAAGTTTAATATCATTTGATGCTAGTTCATAGGCTATGATTTGAAAAACATGAATTTGAGCCAATATCGATTTTTCTTATGTAATATTAAAATTTAAGTATTTGTTAATGAGATACTTCCTTCTACCAGCATCTTCTACTTTATATTCGGCTTTTAGAGCCTCCCACAGGTCCTCTACAGTTGGCATTCATGAGATAAAAGATCACTTAGAGCATTCAAGATATGTCATTTACATATGTCATCATTTTCGTTCCATTCTTGAATTTCTTCGGTAATCTAATATGTAGTAGTCTGATCACTGGTAGATTCAAATGCAGTAATTGCAACAACATGACATGGTTTTCTTAAAACATACTCCACTTTTAAGCTCCTCAACAAAAATATGACCTTAGACTGCCATCTTCCAAAATGGTCTAGCCTTACAAATCCTGAGTCATTACTTTCAGCGAACTGCCAAAAACAATTTCGTGATATTTGTCTAATGCATGTCCTACACTTAGAAAATGTTAGATTTTATATAGTTTAACTGACACCCTATTCCTAAAAATTCGATAGCACCTTCTCTTATCCAGGGTAGTGTCAAAAGAAAAATATCAGAATACTCCTAGTACCAATAGAATTCTTATAGGAATTAGATTCGGTTTCAGATGGTATATCGAAAAATACCAGAATACTCTTAATACCAATAGAATTCCTATAGAAATTAGATTAGGTTTCAAATGTTATATCTGGCAATAAAAACACTCCAAGTACCAATAGACTTTTCGTAGGAATTGGAACAAGTTTCAGAGATAATACAAACTGACAGTGTATATCCAGGATCTAGAGGCACAAGAGGAGCTCGATTTCTTCGAAGTATTGATCACTGCCTACCGGGTGCAAGTTTGAGATCCAGTAGGGTCCCTGGTGAACACAACCCCATGATACATTCAGATCAATATTTTTCTGAGTTACTGAGTATTTTTCTGAGTTACTGAGTTGCACGCTCAGAAACTCGCTTAAAATCACATCAATAATATATTGACTCACTATAAAATTGATCATGACACAAGAACTCAATTTGACAGTAAATAGAATCGAAATATATGAGAAATACTTCTCTTATTTCAAAATTTATGTTTCTCTTTCATACCTTACCTCAAACACAAGATCAAACTTTTTAATGCCTTAATCATCTTCCATGATTCATTGTTTTCTCCTTAAGGCCTCTCTCACCTTTTCATACCTCTAGTTCTCTCCCTGGTTTCTAGAGTCCAAAGCCTCACTCACCTTTCCATACCTCTACTTCTTTTTCTGGTTTCTAGAGTTCAAAGTCTCACTCATCTTTTCATGCCTCTACTTTTATTTCGTAATTCCTGTTACAAAGCTCTTTTATTCGATAAATAATATTTAAGAGTCTCACTTGATAAATAAAAACATAAGAGGGTGCAAGAGAAGAGCGTGGAGAGAGAGTTGTCAAATTGCTTGGGACGTGGCAACTACAAGGAGAGAGAAGAGGTGGGTGATGCAAGCATGAACCTTGCAACATTAAATAGTTTCGGTCTCATGGTCCCTTGAAGAGAAAGTGAAAAAGAAAGGAGGTTAAAACGCGGTGGTCAAATGGCACTGCAACAAATTGGATCAAACAATAAATTAGTTTTGAAACTCACAATTTAACGGGAAAAGTTTATATAGAGCCGAGGCTCTAAACAATCAAATTTGAACGTTTTTCAAAAATTTCATTAGAAGAGATTGTTTTGATGCCCAAATATCTTCAAATCAATCATCTTGACATCAAGATGCAGAGACATGAGAAAAAAAATGGATTACAGGTTTTAGAAATAGTATATTTTGTAACGCATTTTTTGACTTTCAATTTTCAAGATTTTCAAGTTCTCATAAATATGCCGATGTATGCTATTTTTTAAGCTTTAAACTTTATAAATAAATATGAAAAAATATTTTAAGGCTAACACAGATTTCCAATAATGAAACCACATTTTTTGACATTATTTGAAGGTAGGCGTTTAGAGCCTACTCTATACAAACCGCACCCTAATTTAAAAATAGTTGAAAATTAAAAACTCGGGAGTCAAATTATGCACAGTAAAGAGATGAGCATAGGGAGGTGGGAATTGTCACCACCATTGATGACAGGGATGGGTTGAATGCCCCTAATCAGGATTATTATTGTACATGCTTTTTTGGTTCGATATCTCAAATTTTCAGTTATAGCACTCCAACAGTCAAATTCTGTGATATTTAGGTTGGGGCAATAATATGCTGGTCTCTTACGACCACCCTAGCACTTGGTCTTGCACCCAAAACACATAACCATGGAACATTTTAAATCTGAAAATTTTCAGGTCATCTTTGATTCATAACGGGCAATTTCAGAATAAGTACAAAGGTTTTCAACCCTTAAAAGCCTACATTTGAATTAGATAACCAGATTCAATCTTAGAGTGGGATTTTTTTTTGGGTAGATCAGAGTGGGATTTAATTCCGAATACTTTGGACGCGGATGAATGTGTAAACATGGTATTGAATTTCTTAGATAGAGAGCTTCGTATTTTACAATGGTGATCCCTGATCTGGTGAGCAAAGATAGGGGTGGTAATCGGGTCGGTCCTTGATTTGAGCCATGTCCGCTTTCTGTCCTTGTTTTGTTCCCCACGGGTCGACCCGAGTCCAAATGACTAGGACTCTATCAAGTCGGGTCCGGTTGGATCCCTATTGAGTCTCTGGATCGACCCGAGCTAAAATAAAATATGTCTTATACAATGTTTGAAATATTTTTTATTTTTTAAATTTCTAGACCCAAGACTAGGTTGGGTCCGAGTCTTTGTACCCGACTTGGGTTTGGGTTCAGGTTAGGTCAGTATTTAAATGACTTGGACCCGACCCGATTCCGGTCTGGGTTGGTCTTGGTTTATGTGGAACTTAGTCGGTTAGGGTCCGGGTTCGGATTGACCTGGAATCTGACCCAACCCGACCCATTGCCATAACTAAACAAAGGCAAGAAATAAAAAACAAAAATAGTAAGGAGATTTCAGGTTTCAGAACTCAATCACCGCCACACTAGTTCCAATTCAAACAGAGTAAATTCTGATCCAAATCGAAAAACAAATCAACACTGCACAGGGGCATATCTTGCACTTCATGTTTGCTCAAATGCCGCTGCCGACTTGGCCCTGGCCCCGGCCCCGGCCCCGGCCCCTCTTTTGTTTGTCTTGCCCATATATGTAGGAGGAAACAAACCTCATAGAGTGTGGCAGTGGGCTGGGACAACCCACCCCCTACTCCCTCAAGGATGGCTTGGCCTGGCCTTGGGTCGGTCAGGGCTGACCTAGACCGGCCCTATTGCAAACCTCGCCAATACAGCCCAGCCCTGATCTCAGGCCCAGTGGCCAAGCCCTGGCCTGACCCTCGGGCTACATTTTCTGGCCTGGCTTACTTTTTTAGGGCCGGTCCAACAAGCCCATTGCCGGCCCTTATTTCACAAATCCTATGCATTGCTAATTAACCACATGAACACCCTAACCTCGTGCTAATCTTGTTAGCCATTCCTTTTGCTTTAACTGCACGTTACAAAACACAGGAAAAGCCGCAAAGCATAGATACCATTTATTTTACAAAGTCAAAAGGGTAAAGTCTATCACCAATCTTTTTCAAAAGCCAAATCATTAAATTATTGTTCTTGGTAGAAACCCCATAAGATGCTCCCCCCGTTAACCACTTTCTTAGCGGTTTAGAATTAAATAAAAAAATTCACCATTGTTTCCCATCTCCCTCAACGGGCTCATAACCAATGGTGACTAAAGCCCTACCGGTCTTCCCTCTCTGTAACAGGAAATCTGAGCTCAGAGGGTATTTTTTCATTCAAAAAAAGAGAGAGAGATTCAGATTTTCTGGTTCTAGAGAGAGAGAGATTCAGATTTTCTAGTTCTAGAGAGAGAGAGTTGTTGACATTTTCTAGTTTCATATTGCAAGTGCATATACCAACTTCCCCAGTCTCTACCTCGAGGACAAGATTAAAGAAGAAGAACCCAACTCATAAATTTTGTCAACTGCTCATCCATGTATCTCTGAATAAAATCTTACTTATGGTCTTGAGGTAAACAAATCCTACCTTTCCCCTTATGGCTCCTCCTCTACCTTCTCTGCCTTGTTTTTATGTCCTCCAATTCTTCCTTCTCTTTCTTGCATACCAAACAGCCTTTGCAGACATCAGAGAGACCAGAATCTCAACTGATTCTCGCCCCTTCATCCAGATCTTGGAATTTGGTTTCACGAGGAATGGTAAACTGGAAGTTTCAGTGAGCAATGTTTCATGGTCATGGCCATCTGGTGTGAACCAGGCCTTCAATTCTTCCAAGTTGGGTTTCTTCGTCTTACCTGATGAAGATTGGGAAGAACTTGAAATGGAATTATCAGAGTTGAGCAATACCAGAAACGCATGTGTATTCGAGACCCGCTCTCCTTCTGTCAATCCCCTTTTGACCTTTAGCGCATTGAATTACTCTGCGAAATCCATTTCGCTTTCTATCTCTGAGCCTGATGAGTACAATCTCATCTTTGCAAATTGCTTGAGCCCATTAGAGATAACCATGAATGTGAAGATTGTGGCATACAACTTGGGGAAGGATGGAAAAAAGGAGTATCTTTCTCAAGGTCAAGGTCAACTCCCCACTCTCTATTTCATCTTCTCTGTGGTCTATTTCCTTCTATTTCTTTTGTGGGTCTCTCTGTGTGTGATGAAATGGACATGGGTCACTAAGATTCACTATTTGATGGGCTTGTTAGTTGTGGTGAAGTCATTGAATCTCCTCTGTGAGGCCATGGATAAATCCCGTATTCAGAGGACTGGTACTCCTCATGGCTGGGACATGGCCTTTTATGCGTTCAGCGTTCTGAAGGGGATCATGCTTTTCACTGTAATAGCCCTAATAGGAACAGGCTGGTCCATTCTAAAGCCGTCTCTTCAAGACAAGGACAAGAAGCTTCTTGCAGTGGTCATTCCTTTACAAGTGTTGGATAACTTGTTAATGGTGACTATTGATGAAGTAGGTCCTTCAATTAAAGGATGGGAGATGTGGAAGAATGTATTTCTTGTATTGGATTTCATCTGTTGTGTTGTTGTGCTTCTACCCGTAGTTTGGTCTATTAAGCATCTTAGAGAAGCAAGCAGAAGCGATGGAAAGGCGGCGAAAAGCCTTGCAAAGCTAACCCTTTTCAGGCAATACTATGTGGTTGTTATTAGCTATGTTTACTTTAGTCGGTTTGTTCTCTTCTTGATGGAGGAAGCTGTGTCATATCAATACGATTGGACCTGCAACTTGCTTTTGGAACTAGTTAGTGTGGCCTTTTACTTATTGACCGGTTATAATTTCAAGCCTGCGCAGTTGAACCCATATGTTAGGATCGATGATGATGAGGAAGAGGTTGCGATGGTTGCCGCTACAATGGATGGGCAACTTGATGATGATGATTTTGAAATTTGACATGTGATGGTTAGCTGATGGCATGAGAGCCTAGTTTATCTTGACTGTCATTATTGCTTTCTTAAATTGGTGAGCAAATCAGATTCAGCAACCTGTTTATTTACCATGAGCATTGAGCCCTTTTGATGATGGTGACGATGAATATGTCCTTGAAAATGAAAGTGTGGAGTGGTTTGTGTACCTTTTCTATACTATCAACTACCATGTCCTTCTCTCTTTTAAGATATGATAAACTTTTGTTGGAAGTTATCTATTCTTCTAGTTAGGTTTGTCTCTTGCTTTGTTTTCCATAGAAGTTCGAGGTGTCAAAATTACTATGGGGGGACATCTATTCCTCTGGATAGATTTATCCTAGCAATTTTGTACCTTTCGTTTATAGTTACTTTTTGTTTTCTTCTTGTTCATTCCTTATAAAACTTAGAAGTAGAACTTTGGGGGTTATTTATGTTTGAGGGATGCAAACAGTTTGTTTCCTGTCTAACCAAAAAAGGCATGATGCCTGAATCAATAACAAAGCTTTGCTGATTATTGTTATAGTCATTTGTGCCCATCTGTTGATCTGCAAATTTCCTGCTTTATCCATATAATTTGCTAATGTAGGCAGATAGCACAGTTATTATGATTAATCATTATGTGGTTTACCTGAGTTATCCTTCATTTTATCATTGAAAAAATGCCAGCTAGCAGTTATCTTCAAGGCTTTGTTGCTCTTTGAGCTCTCTAATAAACTTCAATAGATATATTTTTCGCATGTTATCAGGATTCATGAAAAAGATGTGGCAAAAAATTTTATTCTACAGCCCTCCTTTCTCCATCCTTGGACTGGCATGACTGGCTTGAGGCTGGTCATGGTGGAGTTACTAATGAAACTGAAGAGGAAGTTCTGTAGGACAGCCATAAGACCTGTCGTGCTTTATGGAACAGAATGTTGGGTAATCAAGAAACAATATATCCATCGAATGAGTGTAGCTGAGATGAGGATGTTGAGATGGATAAGTGGCAAGACAAGAAAGGATAAAATTTGGAATTACATCTAAGTGAACTAGGGGGTAGCTTTAATTGCTGATAAGATGAAGGAAAGTACTAGGTGGTTGCTATATGCAGTGTCAACCTAGAACAACAATAGTGAGGAAAAGCGATTTGATTCAAGTGGAAGGCTCTAAAAAGGCAAGGACAAGGCCCAAATAGGCATGAATAGAAATAGTAAGAAGAGATATGGTGACTTATGGTCTGACTGGGGTTATGGCCCTTGATAGATTGGAATTAGTGGAACATGATTCATGCAGCCGACCCCAACTTGTTGGGATAAGTCTCAGATGATGATGATGATATTTTTCTCATGTTATCATATAAATAGGTGCCTGACAGAAATAATTTAAGTATAAAAACTCCATTTATAATGGAATTTAAACCACACAATGGGGTGTAGAATTATAAGCGCCGTATTGTACATGGGATGATGATGATGATATAGTTTGTACATGGCTTTCATGAGTCTTATGAGCGCCGTGTTCTTTCTTGTTTTTCTAGATATGGAACTCCGTATCTTGTAGTCATTCTCTTGGTATAGGGGGAATCAGCTCGATTGATGTTTGCATACACACCCAGATTTGGGCCAGACGTAATTCACTGTCAGGAGTGTTTTTTCTAACAATCAGTAATGAATTGACAGATTAATTAATCATGTATTGACAGATTAAATGGATTATTTGAACATTGTCAAATTGGATGGTAGATAGATATGACTCCTAATTTGTTGCTTTGTTAGGTTGCAATTGAATGACCTTGTAACATCTTCATGTGTCATCACTTATGCCCCGGGGCAGGGGGTGGGGCCTCGTGTGGTTTGGGCTGCAGGTGTGTTGTAAATTGTAAATCAATTATGGTCTGTAGGCAAGCCCTATCAATTACATCCTCTGTATTTGCATCCTAAATAACTGGATCCTTACATTGCAACCTTGATGCCTAAGAAGTATCTTATCTGCCCCTAGTCTTTTATACAGAACATGGAATTCAACTGAGGTTTAACATTACTTGTGTTCACATCTTCTGAATTTGTAAAAATCCCATTGTGTTGAAAGCTCCTGGGGCCTGCTTGAGTGCATAAACCACCTTGCAGAAGCGTAATAAGAACATGACACTCTTCACTACCTTGTTTGGTATAAGACACATAGTCTCTTCTTTTCGAGTTCTCCATGATGAATCCCATATCTCATATCCATCTGAAGAGGAAGCTAGTGAATTATTACTGTAACAAGTTCTGTAATCTAAATATGAAGGCCATCATGGATGCTGGCAAATTTCTCCCCTAAATGTATACCATGTTCTCATGTGTATCCAAGTACCATATGCCTTTCTTTAAATTGATCCCATATCCATCTGACAAGAGATTTACCTTGTATAATGCTTTTCTTTTGATTCTCTCTGATGATGATAAAGTTGAACCCAATCCAAAGTGTGGTTTCATCAATGTGGAGGAGACAATGGTCCATCTATTGCTCTCATGGACTCGGATGCAAGAAAGAAATATGGTGAGAACTTTATGTTATGAAGCGCCTCTAATCAGGTCTGCTGAAATAAACCTCCAATCCATGTGAACAACTTATTCTTCCTAAAAACTAAAGCTGTGTAAAGTGGCTAACGAAAAATAATAGCACCAGATACAGTACTGCTATCATAACACTATACGCCTATGTAAGTTGTTTTACTGCACACAGAGCCTCTGCAGATTCGATTCAACAATCTTTTGCCAATTATTGGAAAGGGAAGAGTTATATATTATAATCGCTTGTCATATTATTGTCTCTTACTCAAGAATCCATGCAAAAATCTCAGGTGCAATGGTCAAAATTCTCCATCTTGGATCAAGTTAATAACCACATCTGACACAAGGACATGTAAAGAGAAGGATTCCTTTGTCATTAGTCTCATTTAGTTGGCAAAAGAAACTGAAAAAGGCTAATGAACTGCAAGAACAGTGTAGTATTTTAGGTCTGAAAAAATTAAATCTAGGTCTGAAAAATTAAAATCCACTCGGCATTGCCATTGTTTATAATGAATTTTAGTCCAGAATATCGCAGAACATGTTCATTTCACATTTTCTACGAAATTCAGAACTGCTTATATAGTTTTTGCAAAGCTGTCTTCTTGTTAAAAGGATACCTTGAGGGCATGTTTGTTACGTTTCGGCTTCAGAAGCGAAAACCTCAAAAAGCTTTGGCTCCATGAGGGAGCATGGAAGAGGCGGCTTCCATTTATGGAACTGGCCAACTATTAAAGAGTGGAGCATGCGAGAGCCGAAGCCGATTCCATATTTCCCCTCATTTTTGGAACTGGCTAGCTTTACTGTTAAAGAGTGGAGAGAGAGAGAGAGAGAGAGAGAGAGATGCAGTTTAATGAAATAATAGATTGAAAACTGGTCATTCACTATATTAATATCTGGTGTTTAGTCGAGTAACCAATTTGGGCACTTGCTCGTTCTGATCCTGCCCGGAAACCAAATCTAACTCCCTTTTTTTCGAAACTTTACATGCTAGAAACCAAATCTAACTGGCGTGTTATCTTGGGGATGAGAATACAAGTTCAAAGAAAAACTCAAAAATTTAGATTGGACCAGCAAGGTTTACTTATTGCAATCTAGACCATATCACCATACTCGTGCAATACTCTCTCACTCCCCTCTGCAAAATCTCTCTCTCTAACAAGGGTACTCGTGCAAAACTTCGTTTGTTTTTCCATGCAAAATCTCTCTCTTTATCACCCTAAGGACTAGATGATAAGGAAACTCCAATCAAGGTGGAGGCCAGGCACCTGAAATCCCTCCTCGAACCTCTTTTCCTTCCAATAGTCAAGTCCTGTCAACTCCTGTATATTTATGATTGAACGACTCGGGCTGACCACTCAGCCCAGGCCCGAGCCAAGTACTCGGTCCGATTCCAAGTAATTCGGCCCGAGTACTGTTCAAGCTAAAAAAAGTTAAAAAATTAAAAAAATAAAAATTCTAAGAAAAGGAAATATGCTTTAAAGTAAAACTAAACAAAACACATCTTAAATGAGGTTAAAAAAGTAGTGAAAAATAGATTTTAAAAAAATCAATTTGTGGCTGGGTGTATTTTCAAAATAATTAAAAAAATAAGTATTCATCACCAAAACGACTTTTCAATCTTTGCCAAGATGATAAAATATATAAAAAAAAACATGTTACAAATAGTTTTTTTTTAAAAAAAATATTATAATTTTTTTTAAGATCCCCGAGTTACTTGGGCAAGTTCCAAGCGGACTCGCCAGAGTAATTGGACACTGAATTTATGGTCTCTTATTTATGGAACGCTTTCTTGCAAAAAAATCACTACGGCCAAGAAAGGTTTAATTTTAAAAGAGTCAATTTTCTCGTAGTCAAAGCATATCTTTTCAAATCGAAACTCATGTATGCGTTTCAGATTAAAATAGCATGTCCAAAACAAATGTCTAAATATGCCAAAAAATCTTTTCAGATTGAAACCGATATAGTTCTTCAAAAGGACCCTGTTTCTAATGCGGCCAAGAGATTGAAACTGATATAGTTCTTCAAAAGGACCCGATTTCTAATGCGGCCAAGCTCCACTGTGTAGAAATGCTGGCCTATTAATAAATCTATTTTTGAGATGGATGTTTGGACTTAATTTTTTAAGGACATGTAATTTCTAATATAGAGATCATGAGAATATGAAAAAATAAGTATATTTTAATAAGAAAACATTTGGACCGTTAGTTTCCATTGTTTTTAGATGAAACACCTACTTGATAGATGCTTTCCATGAAAAATGAGCCCAAAATGCAGATTTCCAATCCATCCGAAAATAAAAACCTTTTCAAATTTGGTGGATTAAATTTGTTTTTCCCCCTAAAAGAATCTATTTTTTCAGAAAAAGTACTAACTGCCCATTTGTTTGACATTGTTCATCTCAATACAAGCCCACATTTGAGCTCATTATGCTATTTATAGTTAGGATAACTACTGGAAAGCTTTAGATTCCAAAAAGTATTTGATAGCTACAGTGAATTATTTGTTATTCAGATCTTTATTTTATCATGTACTTAAATGTTGGCATCTGAAAGAACAGTAAAGTTGATTTCAACTGTTCCTCCTACGCAAAAACAATATAAATAAATGCTTTCAATGCTGCAACAGACGGATATATTAAATGAGACAGGAACAGTTAGAATTAATATTGAAAAACAATTGCCACATCTGACACGAAAGAATATTTTGAGCTACATCAGGTCATCTGTAATAAGGGTACAAAAGGAATCAAGCCTTCTTGAACCAAAGAGAAAAGCCGTACATTCTCATGCTCATCATATATGCTTCATGCTCATCTCATATGCTGAGCAGCAGTAGAAGTAGCTACAGTTTGCCGCCTCTCCTTTCGCTGGACAACATGGAGGCTCGGAGACTTGGGTTTTGTTGGCTCTTTTGATGATCTGAAGTAAGTCAAGCATTATGGAAACAGTTAAAGTTCAATTCCATAAATCGTCAAAGCCAAGAATACTACGTAGATGATATTAATTGACACGAAGTTTCCTCCTTAATGTGAACCTTTGTGGGCAGAAGGGGTTGTCAAAGTGAGGAAGAGGCCTGGCATGGGGCACCATCGTCTTTCTCATCTGTTTTACTGTTTTTTCCTCTTCCATCTTCTCATAAATATATGCAAAAAAGAAGCACAAAACACTCAAAATATTTAATATATTGTTTCCCTGAACAAAATAGAAAAGTTACAGAAAAACTATATGGCTCACCTTCTTGGAAGCTTCATACTCTTCTCTATATCTTTTGTACCGGCTCTCCTTCTCCTTGACCTATTATGTAGATAACAATTAATAGAAATGAATTTTCTTAAAAACAGTCCTTAACATCAAAAGGTACCGGCTCTCCTTCTCCTTGACCTATTATGGGATTCACTCAGCCGTGAGTGATACATTTACCTTTCTATCAAACTCTGCCCTGTCCACTGCACGATGATCAACATGGAGATCAATTTCTTGGACTTGGGTCAGTGGCCTCCTCACCTTTTCTGGGACTGGAATTGCGTCACTGCATATGAAAACGTACGAGGGTCAAAATCCTCAGTATAACAGAAAATGGAACTAAATGAATGATTCAGGGTACCTTTTCAAGACTGGTTGTGCTTTGAATAATCTCCTTTGGGCTTCTTCTCTCTCCATCCTCTCCCTTTCTTCCATCATTCTTTGGATCTCCTCCTCATGCCTAACAAGGCTCTCTAGTTGGAAAGCCTCTGGTTTTGTGCATTCTTTTGGTTCTGGTTTGGGGGGTACCTGCAATGATAGCATCACTAGACTTAAGCTTCTGTGTTTCTTTTCTTATTTAACTCTTTCCAATTTAAATCCTGACTTACAACAGGGTAATCAGTGGTATAAGGATATGGATTGGCCTTCGGGATCCTGGCCTTTTGCTCTTCTAATTGTTGGTGTAAGACTTCTGATAAAAATCTCTTCTCTTTCTCTGCACCCCGCTCCTGCTTATTAAAAGTGCAAAAGGTTAGTCGAAGCGTGGATTGATGGCTGTGTATTTCTATGAAAACAATGACAAAAATGGAAAGGGAAATTATGGAAGGGGTGCAAACTTCTGTTTGGAGGTGGAAGGGACTTGGTGTTGTGATATGAGGAATACGATTCTCTTGATCACAAGGCTCTGATTTCAAGGAAAGCTGGAAGAAAGCACCAAAGAAGCAGTTCCATATATTTTCAGAGATATTGCTATGAACCCAAATATGGCCCTCTTTTAGACCATGAACAAACAGCAAAGCAAAAAATACAAACAAAACCAGAACTTATTTGGGCTTGTTAGGCTCACTTTATCAAAAAGATCTGTGATTGGTGGTGTCGGAGGTATCCTTTCATCAGTTGCAAAATGAAATTCCTGCAGTTGAAATTCTATTAGAAAGAAACTAATAAAAAACAAAGACAACATGCAAATAATATATGAAATTCCAAAGGATTCATAAAAAAATGTAGGCTACCACTGGTGTTGTGACTAGGCGTTTAGGATTACGAAAAACCCCCAGGTCTCCCTTGCTGCTGAATATCTGCAAATGGAGAGAGTATGTAATATTCAAAAGCTTGGACAAGATATTTCCTATGTTAGAAGGCTTACAACAAACTAAAAAAACTAAAGCAGATATACCGATCTCACTAAAATCAACATTTGGCATACAGAAAGTAATGTCCCTACAAATAAATCAGTTTTAGTTGAAGCCTTGGCAGAAAGAAATTGTCATAGAAAATTATTTTTGTACAAGGGAATCCTGCTATATAAAATAAGAAATAGTCCCCATTACATAATTTCTGAAGCCACAACAACGAAAACTTTCTCGTCCATGGTGCTATTGAATCGGAAAAAAGGTTAAGGCAAAAACCCGTCATAGAAAAATGATGTCCTTGCCATACACCTATGTCAGGAACATTTTGATTTGTTTTATTCAATTTTCCTCCGCTGTCATGAATGCCCCAATGCCCACCAATACCAAGAGCATGAGTCCAAAGTGTGATTGGAATCATTGTAACCATGAGAGACCCAGTCATGAATGCTATCAAGTGATGCTGCTAGTGAGATCAGAACTCAAATATAGTTGTTACATTAACTACTTGTTTGTTTGTGCAAACTGAATCGATGCCCACTTGTCTGAGATTAACGAAGGGCATAAGAGCCTTATACCGCTCGACCATAAGAGACCCAGTCATGAATGCTAAGGCACACTGGAATTTGTGAACAATAATATATAAAATAAAAATTTAAAAGTTAAAAACGATTCTTGGATCCCTATAAAAAGTTAAAAGCAAATATCAGATTCCTGTGTTGACTGCTCTACAAGGCAATCAGATTTGCATAGAGTGTTTCAATAAAGTATTTCAATAAGCCCATTTCTTATGATGCCCAACTAAAAGACCAACAGTGGAAGGTTGTGTCATACACTGGAAATGTTTATATGATGATGAGGCCTAAACAAAAAGGTTTTAATTAATGCAACAATGTGCATGTAAAAGGGATGTGTTTTTGTGGAGGAGAAATTCTATTTTGTGGTTTGCCCCTAAAATTTGTGTTTGTGAATACCATTAATACTATGAGGATTCATTTCTCCAATATCTCCACTGCTAATTCGTTTGAGACACTCTTACTCAAATTGTGATTGTATCTCATCAGGATAAAAATAAGTAATACCATACATATAAGTTAGAACTACTTGTTATATAAGTTGAACCTATCCCATTAAGAGCTCAATGTTTACATATACAACATGCCTCTTTGGTAACTAATTTGTCCTTCGGTATTTATATGCAGGGGAAAAACTCCTGTGCTTGCAGAGCATACAATAGAGTTAACTATACCTTTTTATTTAGTGGCTTGGCTTTGAATTTGGGCATTCTTTCAAGCTCCTCTTGCTCTATTTCTTGAGAGCTTTTGATCCTGTACCATAGAAAGTTAGCAATTTTGACACTCCAGCCTAGAAATTCAAATTGTAGCAATTTTCTCAAGGATAGAAAATTACTGAGGTGGGCGTGCCCTAAGAAGAGTCTCCAGGTGCGGTGACTTAGGCTCAGTGAGATGGTGACCCTGTGAGTGGTCAGGCTTGGGTTTGCCTACCAACTTTGACGAAATACAAATTCAGTAAACATGAAAAAACTGCCACATTTCTTCTTTTACCACAGAATGAAAGTTTTCGTCAAAAATACTTGAAAGAGAAAAAGTTGTTTCACCAGTGAAGAGTTGTTAGCCACCGATGACATTGTCCAATGTTGAGCAGCCCTCTCCATCGTCTTCAGATGGAATTCCTGAAAAAGATGAAATTGTTTGGGAGCATCCCATCTATGAAATCTGTTGGTAGCATTGGGAAAGAAATCTATGAAATCTAATTATGTCATTATCAAGCAATATCTTACCTGGAACTCAGGTAATTGTGGAGTACTTCTTGGTAGCATTGGGAAGGAAGGAGCTTCCAGTATCTAATCGCACAGGAGGGTGATGAAGTTATGAAAAATGATTGTACACATAATATAAACTCAAAAATAAAATCAGCCAGCAAAATAATAAAAATCCAAAGTACAGAAAAATGCTTGTCTGCCATTTCCAATAGCAACCAACAAAATTAAGTGTGAAACCACAAGTCCAAAATTGGAAAAACTGGAAGATATTATTCTACAAGTAATTCACTAATCAAGCAAGGCAATAGAAATATACTTTTAATGGCAACGATTCAAATATTCTGTTAAAGTGATTCAAAGAAATACTTTCTTCTACTCCCTATTAACAGGTTCAATATGTATTCACTATTGATTTATTGAGTTTTGGTCCTTTGGAAAGGGACTTTAATGATTCTGGCAATTCCACCAAATCAGAGAAGGGACGTGCCTTCTAAAATGGAAGCTAGAAATTTCACTCTATCCCACGAGTGATCTGAATATCCCACAATCTCCACATGAATATCACACTATAAAACAGAAGTTCCCACTCAAACTTGAAATATGGGAACAAAAGATGAAAGTGATAAATTAGAAAAAATAACACTAGTCAAATGATAGGAGCTGAAAGTACGTAATGAAATTCCTCTACTACAAAAACAGATTTGGATTGTAGTATTGTACAACCCCCATCATGATAAAAGGATTCCCCATTGACGTGTGGAGATAACATGAAAGCAAGCCAGGAACAAGCCACAAGTTCACATGAAAATAAATATTAAAATGAGTTACAAAGAATAAAATAAGAACCAGGAACAAGCAATGCTTGAGAAATATTCACTTTTTACCTTCTTATTCACTGGTCTGGCTTTGAATTTTGGGATCTTTGCTAGCATCTCCTCCTCAAGCTCTGCTGAGCTCTTGAGCCTACATTTAAACAAAAGGTTGCCCTTAATTATCCAGAGAAGCAATAAGAATCATAGGTTATTTACAAGGTACACAGGCAGGCAACATGATCGATCATCTTAAAGGAATCCAACAAAGTCCCTTGATGATCTACAAACCAATAAATCTGGTAAACAGAAAAGCAACATCATGATCATCTTAAGGAAGGTCGTACCTCACAGGTCGAGCCCGATGCGCTGTCTCTAATTCTGGTTGCTTTGGCCTTGTTAAAGTTAATTTGGGCTTCCTCTGAGTAAGCGAAGCAGTTTCATCCTGAAACAACACACGTGCAATGAAATATAAAGAACAGGACAATGATTAAGAAACAGAAGGAAACAGAAAAGAAGGAAGAGTATGGCATGCTAATTTACTTGGGAGTAGGATCTGCCATGAGAAATTTCCATCTCCCTAGGCTTTGATTGGAACTTTTGCACCATTTCGGCCATTGAAATAAATGGAGATGGCTCTTCCTGAACATATGCATAAAAGAGAAACAAATTCACTGCTTATGCAGAAAAGGTAACCCAATTCACAGATTTTAGAATGCGGAGAAAGCCATTATGTATGAATTTTGAATTTGAATAGATACAAACCTTTCTACACTTGTGGAGTAGTACTCGTTCTTTAACATTAAGAATCTGTGAAGATGATTAACCAGGACATGAAAGAGAAGAAAAGATGAATACATTTTTCCGTCTTCAACAAGGACCAAAAATTTCAAATACAAGATTCCTAAACTGTTACAATTTGCGAGTAATAACCAATTACAAGATTTGTAACCTGGAAGTACCTAATAATTATAAAATACATAAATAAAATTGACCTGTATTATAAAATATATAAATAAAATTGACCTGTCTTGATCGACCCCCATCAAGCTTTTGTCTTTTAATTGCCCGATTTTCCAGTGCAATGTCTACCGAGGGTGAATTCTTAACTGCACTTCTTACTGAAAAAACATAAGCTCAAATATCAATAAAATTGTAGAGCACTTAACAGAACATATCCAAAGTTTATAATTTATGTTATGAAAGTTCTACGCGGTTGTTGAAGGAAAAATGATGGATTCAAAGGGCTTTGCCTCCCTGATATACTTGCCATGGCTAGGAATTGTGCTTTTTGGAGGGGCACACTTGGCAGCACTTCTTACTGAAAAAACAAATGGCAAAAGTTAATGATAGAAGCTGTGTAAATAAAACTTCTCTTATGAAAATTCTGACTTGTAAATTTCTGGCAAAACGCAGAGGAAGAAAAGCATGGGTCGAAGAGTTTTAAACTGGTTGATACATACCATGGCAAGGGTTTGTGCTCTTCGAAGGAACAGTAACAGCTGCAAATTCATTTTCGGAATTTGGTTTTTTAATATTTACCGGAGATGATACTACATTCACACAACTGCATTGCACAGAAAGGCTTTATAACTAATATTGTCCTCCAATGTGAATTTCTGGAATTTTTTCGGAAAGGAAGATTTGCAGTGATCAAAGCACACCTGTCATCTTCCTGGAAGTCCCGTGAACCTGATTCTTTACCCAATTTAGGAGCACCAACCTGAAAAATGGTTGATGGTCAGTTATATTACTCATTATATAATTTATTAATCATGATTGATTCGTTAATCGATTGAGTGACACCCTTTGAATCAAATATGAGACCAGCTCAATGACTAGAAATAGTTGAAAATCACCTGCTCATGATTGAACTTTGATTCATCTTGACTGTTAGCTTTCACTGATTCGACACGATTTGGCTCAGAAGCACACCTGCACGATGATCCATGTAACCTTAATTATGTTGTCAAATAAATTATGTGGCCAAATCATGAGGACACCATGTTGCACTCAATCGCTAAATTATGTTTCAAACAAGCCTTCCATATAAAGAAGGGAATCAGGACCTTCTTTCTTCTGATTCTTTAGCCAATTTAGGAGCACCGACCTGAAAATGGTTGATGAATAAATTCAGTTAGTTATATTACTCACTATATAATATAATAATCATTATTGATTCTTTAATCAAGTGAGTGACGCCCTGCTAATCAAACATAGGACCAGCTCAATAACTAGAAATAGTTGAAAATCACCTGCTCATGATTGACCTTGGATTCATCTTGATTGTTAACTTTCACTAATTCCATGCAATTGGGCTCTGAATCACACCTGTACGATGACCCATTTTACCTCAATTTTGTTGTGAAATATATTATGTGGCCAAATCATGAGGACACCACGTTACACTCAATCGCTAAATCATGTTTCAAAGAAGCATACCATATAAAGAAGGGAGTCAGTACCTTATTTCTTCTGGTGCCAACGTAAGGTCTCTGGTACTCATTTCATCAATCTACAAAATTTATAATCACCAGGTTTTAACAAAATCAGATTTAGTGGTAGTAAAATGGATTTCAAGTTAACCTCATTGGCTTTATACGGTGAAAAGTATTCCTACCTCATGATTGACCTTGGATTCATCTTGATTGTTAACTTTCACTGACTCCACGCAATTTGGCTCAGAAGCACACCTGCATGAAGACCCATTTTACCTCAATTGTGTTGTCAAATATATTATTTGGCCAAACCATGAAGACACCACGTTACACCCAATCCCTAAATCATATTTCAAACAAGCGTACCATATAAAGAAGGGAATCAGTACCTTATTTCTTCTGGTGCCAACGTAGGGTCTCTGGTACCCATTTCATCAATCTACAAATTAATAATCACCAGGTTTCAACAAAATCAGATTTAATGGTAAGAAAACGGATTTCAAATTAACCTACTTGGCTTTATATGGTGAAAAGTATTCCTACCTCCTTCACAGAATCCGCATCTTCAAAATCACATTGCCTGTCTATCTTTGTGGATCTTCCCAATTTGATTCTTGGTATGAAAGCTGCATCAATAATCTAAAGATAAATTCTGTACCGTAAAAGAATCACAACTTAAAGAAAGCAGTTTCCTTTTTACCTCGAATTTGAGATATATATACCAGGAAAATCCTTCCCATATTATCCAATTTCCAACCATTGAGAAAGATCCTTCTCCATTATCAATCAGAAAAATTGTAACAAGGCTTACCATATTATCCAATTTCCAACCATTGAGAAAGATCCTTCTCCATTATCAATCAGAAAAATTGTAACAGGACTTACAGTCTCTAAGCAACTTATATATTTCTCTTGTCCTTATTCAGTTTTTTATTTTTAGTTTTTGTGTTTACAATCTTGGTTGATACAACCAAAAAGTGGAGAAATACTAGGAGGTTTAGATATCAATTTTGTGAGACAACAATCTGACGTTCCAAGAAAATACGGTACAGAATACATGATTTTTCCACTGTAATTGTATGTATTTTTTAGAACTGCCCACTTGATAGTTTTGCACAAAGAAAATTACTTAAATTAAAACAAGAATCCATTTTACTTATGCACAATAAATGCATCATTAATCCTGTTCTGCAATCTAGAGATCTAGGGTTTCTTCACAAGAATTACCGTGAACACCTAAACTCTGAGAAAAGATTGTTCTGCAATAAACCATAGAAATAAAAACAATTTAGTGAAACGAAAAGCGAACACATAAATCTTACGCGATGGAATGTGACCACAGGCCCTCTCAAACCAGAGCTGAGCTTTGTGCATCTCTTCTTCGGTTTCTCCACTCACAAAGTCGAAGAAATGCGGTGCTGAAAATTCGTATATTTCATCAATCTGAAACACTTTGGAGAGAAATTCGCCTTCTTTTGCCTCTGCCATTTCTCTAGAGAGAGAGAGAAACCTCAAAAATCTCAAAGAAACAGAGATAGAGCAAGAGAGAGTGTGTCAAAGAAAGGCCTCAGAAAAGATCTCCAAAAAAAGGCGCCGTATTGTTTAGAGAGAGAGAGGGTTTATATAGTTTAGAGAGAGAGATAGAGAGTGATGGAGATAAACAGGAGGAAGCGAAAGAAATAAACGCAGAAGCAAAGCAGGGGTTAGAGAGAGAAAGAAGCCGGTTTTCTGCGGAGCGTCCCTCTTTGCAAACGTTACAATGAGGCCTCTCAACGGTCAAATGCGACCTTTTGAAATTGCTGGCCATTCCATAACGGCTATCCATTTAAATATGAGGAATTACGGAAATGCCCCTAGGGCGTGTCAACGGCTAGTTCTCAACCTGATTTCAGGTCCTATGGAGCCCGACGATAGTTACTTACCAGAATTAATCAAATATTTCCATAAATATAATAAAGGAAATTTTGTTGTATGGATATATTCTTATTTTTTGAAAGAAAAAAAATTGGTCTACAAATTTTCTAATTTTACATGAGATCTCTTTTTGGTCTTTGTTAAGAGAAATTTATCAAAAATATGCCGTAATTTTCAACTATTTTAAATTTTAACATTTTTCAACTCAAAGTCATGTATATGGGCATTTGGAAATTAATTCAAAACAAATGAATACAAATTTAAAGGATACGGTTTCTATGAGGCCATGTAGAAATGATTCACGTCTTAAAAATATATTTTTGAGATGGATTTTTTGATTTAACTTTTAAGGACATGTAATGTCTAACATGGAGATCATGAATATGAAAAATATATAAATTTTGAAAATTAGAAATAGCTATTTTATTAAGAAAATATTTAGACAGTTAGTTTCAATTGTTTTAGAAGGACCACCTATTTGCATCCATCTTTAAGATGGATGATTTATATACCTTGGGAACTCATATTGTAGAAATGTGGTCCAGTCCACACGAAACAAATTTTCAAATTTAAATGGTAAATACCTGATGTGCATTTTTTCAAATTTCATGTTTTTAATTTCTAAAATTGGCACTAGTGTGACCCTCCTTTAATGGCACGTTTGTTTGCTGGAAGATAAACAATTCTGAAAAAATAAAGAAGTTCTTATTTTTTGAGAAGTGGAATGTATTTTTTGGAAAGTTTAAAGAAGTTTTGAGTACTTATGTTTGATCACCATCCAAAACCAACTTTATAAAAGTTGGTTTTGGAGAAAAAAGTAAGAGAAAAAATTCTGTTGGGTAAGTTGCATAAAATATGTGGTCTTAAGGTTTTTTGTAATTTTCCCTTTTAAGTTTTCTTTCTGCAAAACAAATACGTCCAAGGGAACTTTAACCTTGTTTTTGTTTTATTATTAGCCATTAAGAAGTCATTTTCCTGTCTTATCTTCAAAATGACGCACACATCCACCTTCTAAACTTTAAAAATCAAGACTGATGGTCCAACTGCATAATTAAACTTGTAGTCCAAGTATATAATAGCCTATCCAAACTTTTAAGAAAATGAAGACTAAGGGAGCATTTGAATACCTAAAAACCTATTACAGAAAATTAAATTTTAGAGAATATGACGTTTTGGTCTGCATAAGCAGTCAAACGTAGCTAACGTGAAATATATTACACAACGAGAAGGCTGGGAAATAAAATATGAGCGGGACGGGTAACCCGCCCAAACAATAAAATCCACTATGAGGTCCCTTCTTCTCCATTTCACTTGGCACATCACATGCTCTCCCATATCACTTCAGTAGCAGACCAGCCAGAGCTATAGCCGGCCTTCTCTTCCCCTCTCTCTTGTTGAGCCCTGCTCAATCAACTAGTTTGTTCCCAATTTTTCGAGACTAAAAGCCCAACTAGGAACATTGAATCTCTCTCTTCTTCAGCCCTGAAAATTGCTCAATCAACTAGTTTTTTTTCCCGAATTTTCGAAACTAAAAACCAGTTAAGAACATTGAATCTCACTTTTGTTAAGCCCTGAAAAATGCTCAATTAACTAGTTTTTTCTCATTTTTTTTGAAACTAAAACTCAAATAAGAACATTCAATGAACTAATTTGCTTCAAATCAGGTTTTAATGTTATTACTGATTGTGGACCACACATATTTCATACATTTCATACTAATTTTGTTTAGATTCAGATTTTTTAAAAAACTCATTTAATTGGTTAGTTATTATCTTCTCAAAACATTAGAAAATCAATTATGTGGTTTGAGGGATTTGTGACATGTTCTAAGTTGATTTTCCACGTAATTTTTGACTTGTTGAATTGCTCTAATTTTACTACTACTCCTGTTGCGGTAGAAAACTAGATGCTATATCATGATTTCATCCAACTTCTTGTTGATTTCTTGATGGAAATTGTCATAAAAATTAAAACATGGTTGAGGGGTAATCATTATGATTGAATTTGAATAATTAACAACATGATAATCACAATAATATGGCCAATTTTCTGAACCCATTATGCAGCAGAAAATTGCAGTATAATTTTCTTCTAAATTTTATCCAAAGTTCAAGTACTTTATGCCTCAAACCACTAATACATGATCATCTAATGTTTAAATGATTGATAGTTGATCACATTGTTGTTGTATAAAAATCATAGAATCAATGAGTATTTGTTGCTTGTGCTTGTCTGAAATTGTATTGATCATACAAAATCATGATTGACCTTTGTGAGATCTCGGTTGATACCCATGAATCATAACTCCTAGAGAGAACAAATCTAGTAGATAGATACATAATGGTGCAAAGATGCATAACTGATTTTTTATTTTTTACCCCTTTGAAATTCGATTTTATTGTAGAACTCTTCTATAGCTGCATCAAATGTTTCCATCGACTTCAATTTTTAAATTTTATAGGGAAATCCCCTTAATAAAAGTTCGTCTCAATTCATGGCATTTGGTTCAAATGTAAGGAAGTCCCCGTAATGAAAGGGGCAAGAATTTCTCGCCCCTTGTCGTAGGACTCGTTATTAAACAGCTTGTTGTAGATGTCGGTACCCCAATATCAAAGGAGTTGTTTAATAAACGATATTCTTCACTCAGAAATGCCTTGAACATGCTTTTGGAGTTTTGAAGGTACATTTTTCTAGCTTGAAAGGGGTTAACTACCTATCCAATAAAAACACAAGTCAAGATAGTTGTTGTATATTGTATCTTACACAATTTAATCATGAGTGAAGGCGGTGACCTTTATGATTATGAAGATATAATAACTGATCGAAACCAGTCACACTTATGGAAGTTCCAGAGTTAGAAGTTTTTGGGAGGAGTCAAAAGGGGAGAGATGAGTGGTCTTAGTTCGAATTGCTATACTCTCTCTCTCTCTCCTCGCTCTCTCTCTCTTGTTGGAATGATGATAAGCTTCTCTATCAGTCTCTCTCTACCTCTATGATATGAACTTCTTATCGTATTAGAAAATCTTGTTAGAATATTGCTTACAATATTATCTCATTGGAATCTTGATGACGATAGCATTACTAAATCTTATTGGAATAATGACAATATTATTTCATAGTCTCATTCTCTCTTTTTAGAATGGTGATGATCAAGACCTTTATTTCTCACTCTCTCTTTATCTTTGGAATGGTGATGCTTAGTAACTTATTTCTCTCTTCTCTCTCTCTCTCTCTCTCTCTCTCTCTCTCTCTCTCTAGAATAAGGATGATGACAATATTAGAAAATCTTATTGGAATGATACAATGATAATCTTTAGTTGGCAATTTAGTAGAATTTTGTGATAAAACAAGAAAGTAGTGATGGTTTATAGGCAAGTGCACCATTTTATTAGAATGTCATAGACTTTTTGCATAATAGGTCTGGGCATGAATAGTAAATAGTGATGACGACAATATTTTCTCTTTGAAATATAGTGATGCCATTCACCTATTAACGAAAAAATTACGGGGAGAAGAGGGATAAAATTAACCCATGTGGATATGACATTCACATATTAGAAAACAAAGTAGTTTTAATCAATATTTCATCCTAACAAGAAAATAAAATAGAAAAAAGCTACATTACCATAGATAAAATTAACGCAGTATTTCTTAGCCAAAATGTCGGTAATGCACTTCTCTGACAATACATTTCCAGGTACCCAAACGACCCAGAAATGGTCCAACTACATAATCAGACTCATGGTACAAGTATATAATCTCCCCGTCAGTCTCGTAAGCTCACATGCCTAGATG